ATGCAGAGAATTGGGTTAATGTGACTTATGCAAAGTTCCAGCCAAGCTTCAAAAGGGCTTTGCATGAAATATTTAAATGTTTCTTGAACAACATGATTTAATGGCACTGGATCATTATCCTGAGGTGGTATCAGCATACGCATGGCATATTGTGGGTGGTTGGATATAGGCACATATCCACACACAGCATCAATGACGAGGTCTCAGCTGCCAGCACAGAGCCGCTGGCCAGCAGCGTCTGACTGGGTGACCCGCCCTCCTGCTTTCCTGGAAGTTGGAGGTTTTCTAGGACATGGGACTTGCGAGCCAGCGCTGGCACCGTCCCAGACACGCTACTAGAGTTATACAGAGAATTGAAGGTGAAGACAGACCAGATGCAGGAGGCCCGGGGCCGGCGGGGGTTCGTGATGTCTCCAGGGTTCAGGTTTTTCTCTCCGTCCTGTGCAGTCTCCCTGCAGTGACTGTGGGGGGGCCTCGGGCTGTGAGGGGATCACTCCAAGACCCCAAGACAAGGGGATCATCTTGTCCTTGAGCAGGCTTCCTTTTACACGTCCTGGGTCCCAAGCGGATCTCACAGAGACCGCTGGCTGCAGGGAGTTCGGGGAAAGGCGGCGAAGGCAAATGTGATCACCGTGACTGGTGCTGTGGATTAAATGCCGGCCCACAGATTCATGAACTGAGGCCCTGATCGCCCATGTTGCATTAAAAGTGGGGCCTCTGTGAGGGCAGAGGGTTCCTGAATGGGACCTGTGTCTGTGAAAGAGATGTTTTCTTAAGATTTGTTTACTTATGCTTATAGAACTGGGGTACAGGCCAGAGGTGCAGGGGCGGTGAGGATTCACCAGAGTCAGAGTGGGGAGCAGAACAGGCGACTGACGAAGTACACTACTGAGGGGAGCAGCGGGCGGGTCAACAGAGGTCTGCTGTGCCGTGTGGTCTCCTCCAGGGCAGGCGGGGATCGAACTCATGCTGAAGTGGTTTTAGCTTCCTGGTGCTGTGCTTTAACCCGCTGCACCACCAGGGAGGACCCTAGATGCTTTTTTTTTTTTTAAAAAAAGACTTACTTATTTATGATATAAGAACTAGGGGGCAAGTCAGAGATGTGGATGGGGGATGAGAGGGTTCACCAGAGACAGAGGTAGATCCACTGAAACACACTGCTGAGGGGAGCAGCGGGGAGACAGGAGAGGTCTGCTGTGCCATGTGGGTCACCTCCTTGGCTGGGGTTAGAACTCATGCTGCAGTGGCTGCAGGTAGCTTCCTAGTGCTGAGACTTAACCCCTGCGCCACCAGGGAGGCCCAAGAGCTGATATTTTTCCACCATGTGACGACACAGCCGGCCATCTTCTCTTGGGCTGCTGCCTGCGAACCAAGATGAAGGTCCTCGCCAGGCCCACAGTGGCTGGCAGCTTTACCTTCCCGCCCTCAGAGCCCGGAGACCGGTGCTGTCTAAGCCCCCCCATCTACAGGGTAGTCTTGCTGTAGGAGGCAGAACGGAGCTGGGAGATCTCACCCATGGGCATGGGGGTTTCTGGGGACGCTGACTCCTGAATGAATCGGGGTTCCTGGAGGATGGCGGTGGGGAGCAAGGGTCGCTTTGGTTCATGACCGATGCTGTTGTCTGAAACTCACGCAGCCACAGGAAGGGGAGATGCCACGGTAGAGAGCAGAGTGGGGCTGCACCCCAAATGCCACTTACAGACAGGCCCTGCACTCAGGCCAGTCTCTTCTGTGTGCGATGCTGGTAAACGGCTTGGGCTCAGGGCGGCTGTGAGGAGCTGGACGAGTGCCTGAGCAGGAAACGCTGAGGACAGTGCCCGCCACATAGGAAAGCCTTAAATGCCTCCAGCCCCCAGGGAGCAAAGCCCTGGCTGTTAGCGAGGGGGGATCTCTGCGAGGCAGCTTGGGGTCGGTACAAACTCCTTTGTGGGGAGGCTGCTCGGAGACCCAGCAAGCCTGGGTGCTGCCAGCTGGGCTTCCGAGGAGAGCAGTTTGGGAACGGACGGTCTTCCTTTGGGCCATGTGTGAATGCCGGAGAGGGCACCCTGCGCGATGCTGGCAGGAGAAACCAGGAGAACAGCAGCCGTTCTGATGGGGATCCCCTGGAGTCCTGCGCCTTCCAAGAGGGGTCAGATGCACCCCGCCCAGCTGAATGCCCTTCCAAGGGGCCCCTCCTGGCCGCCTCACCTGGCCACCTGGGCGAGGAGGCCAGGTGTGAAGCCCTGGGCCTGGGTGTTGGAGGCTCGCTGGTCAAGCTGACGCATCATTCCAGGTTCCTTGTTCTTACTGTCATGAACTTCAGCATGACGGAGCCTCTTCTAGTTTCCTACTAGGACTGTTCTAGAACTTTCTTAGAGGACTGTCCTCGACTGAACTTTTTCTGAAGGTTGAACATGTTCACACCATTTTCTTTCCCTCTTGCTTGTTCTTGCTTCTCTCTAACCGACACAGTATTCATCCGTATGAAACTAGCAGATGCCAGTTACTGAGCGTCCGAGACCCAGCTCAGAGCCTGGCACCCCCAGAGAGGGGTGCTGCTCCAGGGCCGCTTTAAAGTCATGGAAAACAAGTCTCGGAAGAGAAGCCACTGGCCCCTTCGAATTGAGCAGTTTTGGGCCCAATTTCCTGCTTCTAACCATTATCTCTCTCTCTCTCTCTTTTATTTCTTTGCCATCTTGTTCCTCAAAAATGATCACTGAAGTACCTGTCAATGATGTGGCTTTACCCCAAGATTTCTCAACTTCAGCATGACGAACACTGCGGGCTAAACAATTTCCTGTTGAGACAGTTTGTCCTGTGCACTGCAGGACACTTAGCCGCACCCCAGGGCTCCCCCCAACCAGAGTTAGTAACAAAGCTACACTCACACACACAGAGACAGTTATAACAACCAGTTACAGCTCCTGGCATCCCCAGATGTCCCCAGGGACCAACACTGCACTCACCGAGACCCACGGAGGTAGCCTGGCCTCCGTGCTGTTGGGAAGAGGAACCCGGAGCCCCTCCAGTAGAATGACGGCCAGTAGGAGCCCACGGGAACACTGTGCCCTCTGGCACATCCTCCGGGCTCACTGCATGCAGCTGCCACCTGCTAGGACATTCCGGCCAGAGCTGGAAACGGGGGGGCCATGCCATTGCAGAGGAGACGCAGGCTGCAGCAGGTGCCCCCTAACTGCATGTCCTGACTGCCGGGGTGCCGGAACTGGGGTGCATACTGTGGGCTGGCTTTGACCAGCAAAGGCAAGGGGTGATGGTAATGAAGGGAGACCTCAAATCAGGGTCTTGACAGAGTCACTGCGGAAGGTCTCAGAAAGATCTGTAGACTCAGACAGTGACCTGTCCCCATCAACTGAGTGGACAAGTCAAGCCCCTTGAGAATATCCCTGCTCCCTCGGTTTCTTCCTGGGATGTGTTTTTCAGGAGCAAACAGGAGAATGCGTCCAAACTGCTCATTCCACTCCCAGCATCCCCTGCTTCACTCTACTCCACAAAGCTTGACAGGCCGTTGTTTTGCGTTTACCTTCTGTCTCTACCTCCAAAGTATCAGTACAGGAGGGCAGGGACTTGTTCCCTCTGCTGCATCCTCAGAGCCCGACATTGACAGATATAGTAGCGCTCCTATAGATGTGCAGAATGAAGGCATGTGCACACACACACACACACACACACAGAAGCGACAGCTCAACAGCCATCAATGTGTCAAGCCCTTTGTACTCAGCAGTTCTCTTTCTGAAAATCTAAAGACCCCTCCCAAATAACCCAACCTGAAAGGAAAAGCTTTATATGACTATGAATCGATGTTCCAAAATAACACAGATATACAAAGCAAGGGCATAATTAAAACCATCCTGATAAATCTACTTGATGGAATCCGAGGCAGTCATTGCACATAGTTACAGCAAGTTGGGGCAATATCGTAGCAGACACATGCAAAATCATAATGCATGATGTCCATTCTGTGAACCACCACACCGAGAGACAGGAGTGAACATACTTCCCTTCTGGGGGAATATGTAGATTCCTACTCTTAGCAAGTGTTCTTATTACTTCACTTAGCCAAGTAGTTGCATTTCTAGGTATTAATCTTTCTAGGGACTTATTTATGTCTATGAATTTATTTTAGAAATGTGTATCAGGCAATATCCAAACATCTATGAATACAGTAATAATTAAATCACCAGTAACCAATACAGTGGCATACTATGCAACCATTAAAAATGAAATTTGCATGTACTTACTGCGTGGAATGCTCAAGAAATGTCATTAAGTTTTTAAAATATCACAAAATATTTTTCTGCCATGATGATGTCATATATGGTAGTATTATCATTAATACTAAAAAAAATCTGGAGCCATATATACCTAACTGTTGATAACAGTTATTTCTAAAGGACAGAGGGAGATTTTCTCTAGTTGAGAATTTCTATAACATTAAAAATTTTAACATAGTGGCCCTCCCTTGTGGCACAGCGGGTTAAAGCACAGCACTGAGAGCTAAAGCCACTTCCGCATGAGTTCGATTCCCGCCTGCCCAGGAGGTGACCACATGGCGCGGCAGACCTCTCCTGACCCGCCCGCTGCTCCCCTCAGCAGTGTACTTCATCGATCTGCCTGTTCTGCTCCCCGCTCTGTCTCTGGTGAATCCTCTCACCCTCCGCATCTCTGGCCTGTACCCCAGTTCTATATGAATAAATGAATAAATCTTTTAAAAAAATTTTAACATAGCAGAGAAAAGTAAATGCTCACTAATGTATCACACAAGTGCAAGACACAGGAAACAGGAAGGAGCTGTGATTTACGGTGGTTAATCATTCCCCAGTGGTGGGATAATGGGCAGTTTTTGTTTTTCTTCTTGATAGATGCTTTTATCAAGAGCATGCATCATCTTTGCAAAGGTCAATGCCTCCCAACCAGCCCTCTTTGTTTACACTAGGGTGGGGTGTGAGGGGAGTGAGTGTTCTGGCAACTTAACCTGTTGTACTGTGATGGCTTCTCCCCAGGATGGATGACATCCAGCTTTGCAACGCCATCATGGACCTGAAACAGGAGCTGCAGAACCTGGTCGCCATCCCAGGTAACCATGAGTAGCCCACCCCAAGGAACCCTCCCCTGTTTCATTAGCACCCCTTAGGTCCAGAAGACAGAGCTCATCCCTCCTCCTAGCCAGTCATATTCTTGCAATGAGTGAGTCCTGAACATGGGATCAAATGCACTTCCACATCGGGCAGAGCCAAGTCAGGTCCTCATTCTGATCACCTCCTTAACCTTGGGCAGGTGACTGTAATTCTCAGAGACTCAATATCTCCTCCTCTGAAAATGGGGTAATAATATTAATAGTGCCTAGACCACTGGGTATAAATCTCCTTGTGATAAATGAAATAATGTAAGCCATGTGCTTGATACCTGGTCCAAAATAAAAGGCCAGTAAACATTAGCAATTAGCATTGATATCCTGTGGAGAGCAAATAGTGTGGTGGCTATGAGCTCTACCTTTGTCCTCAAACCTTGATCTACTACTTATTAAGTAACATTACTTTGGGAAGTTGCTGCTCCAGATCTCCATTTCTTCATCTATAAGTTGGGGCAATAATCATGTCTATCTTGCAGGGTCATTGTGGGTCTGATTGAGGGACAAAACACGCAAAGTGCCTAGCACACTTCTCATCTTATAGTAATTACTCAATAAACCGTTGTCATCATCATCATCATCACCATCAACCAAACATGTATACCCATCCTTCAGGACATAGTTATTTGGTCCCTTCACCTAAGGAAGCAAAATAAAACAGGAGCATAGAGTAAGAATAGCTGACTGTTCATGAGCTCATGATGCAGCAGGCAGTGGGCCTAGTGTTTAATTGGTTTATCTCTTAAAACTTGCAACAACTCAGGGGTGGATTGGGAAATGGGATCAAAAATGGGGGAGGGGGAAGTGCACAGGACTATGGTGACGGCACACAGGTGAATTGGTGGTAGGAAGTCCACAGAGATTTACAACTGAGATGAAAAAAGGCACAAAATGATGTAAAAATAAACTATTATATATTTTTTTAAATTTGCAACTTTATGATTATCTGTACTAGGAGCTTGGCAGCCTAGAAGAACTGAGGAACACACCTACAGCCACACAGCTGGGAAGTGAGGAGCTGGAGCATTAGGCCAGGCCTGATGCTGCAGTGAGGGCTTGTAGTTGTGACAGGAGTTACAGGCCAGGCAGGAGGAGGCCACCAGGAGGCCACGGGACAGATGGGGGAGCCTGCGCTGAGGGCAGTATGGGGCATGAGAGGCAAGTTGGAGGGTTACACCAGCAGATGCAGGCAGATGTTAGGAATCAGGTGGGTGGTGCCAGCAGGCAGGGGGAAGCTGGCAAACTGGAGGTTCTCATTGGCTAGTAGGTGGGTGGCAGGCACAAGTGTCACACACACAGCAAGTTGTGGGGCCTGGAGGCAGGTGGGTGGGGCCTGGAGACAGTGGGTGGGGCCTGGAGGCAGGTGGGTGGGGCCTGGAGACAGTGGGTGGGGCCTGGAG